TGTTGGGCGGGAAACGTTCGTTAATTTGGCTCAGTGACCTCCTTTGGAGATATGAGGTTCTTTTACGTGCCGTAAAGCTACGACACGGGACCCACGGCTTAAAGTCCCTCCCGGACGACTTGTTCCCTGAATTTTTCCGCCCTTAAAAATTCGACGACCTCCGCCGGGTATTTGAACCCGCGTACTATGAGTCATGAGGTGGGAGCGTTACCTCTAGACTACGGAGGCCGCTTACTTAATCAGTTAAGCACAAGGACAACTTTACCGATGAAAATAATTCTTATAAACCAAGAAATGTTTCGGTAATTTGCTAGAGCCATTTGAAGGTGTTCCGCCAACAGAACACTAACATTGGCTCGTAGCATCAGACATCCATTTCCAGTGCACTGCATGTTCTTTCACTGCCATAGTTGCTATTGTAAGCCTGTGCTGAAAATGGACAACTACGCGTTTCGGGAATATGTCGATATGCACTTCATTCTCGGCGAAATCCGTTGTAATGATGCAGCAGCTGTAAGGTTGTACGCAGAGAAATATTCCCAACGTAGACTTCTGAACCCACGTAGGTTTCACAGCACTGGTCGTCGCATCAAAGAGACCGGTACTAATAGCCCTTTTACGGCAGACTGCGGAACACGGAGAAGAGAATGAACAGTTGATGTGGGCGCATATACAGGATGGCCATGCCATCATTCGTCGAATTCAAGCTTCCAAACATGAGGCGCGCAAAACAGTTCTCAATGAAGAACTGATGTACTCATGCCATTTGCAACTGGTACAAACAAGCTTTAAGTCCTACAGATTTTCGTGAAACCCAAGAATTCCAGTTGCTACTTTGACAATGTGGTCAAGATCTTTTCTTTAGCAGCCCTGTACTGTTAACTGCTGAAGCAGGCTTCATGAAGAACAGCACACGAAGCACATTTGGAGTAACGTAAACCCACATAGGACAATTCATCCAGACATCTACCGCGGTTCGTAGTTACAGTTTGGCGTAGTACTGTTGGCGAATGTTTCGTATCATTTTACCTCATAGACTCATTATCGCTCTTACCGACTTTTTTGGAGCACACTTTGCCAGAGTTATTGGATACTGACCCACTGAATATTCAGCGAAATGTGTGGTTCGTGAATGCTGGTGTTCCAGCCCGCCTCCCGGTACTCCGTCAGAATTACAGACCGCCTACACAAGGCGGTGGGTAAGAAGGCAGGGACCAGTATCATGATCAAGTCGTTCAGAAGACCTGCATTTCACCCCTCCCCTTGGGGACGTTTAAAAAATGTTATGTACACTTCAGCAGGGAGTACTACAGAAAAACTGCTGCAGAGCACTCAAAATGGCTGTTCCTCTCTCGCAACACTCCTGGCACTTTTCGACGCGTCCGTCAACCCGTGCATCGTCAGGCCGAAGATTGCTATTACACGCGATCACAAATTTGAGCATCTACTGTAACTATAATAACAAACACCAATTGTCAATAGATTTTCCGTCAAGTGCAACAATATATATTTTAACAATCAAGTTCCTTCCGTCAAATGTGACACTTTTTTAAGTTTTCCACCTCGTCACCACCTGCCTTACATGTTTCGGCTCACCACGGAGCCATCATCAGAGGCATTTATAGTAGAAAAAGAAATCACCAACACACAAAACTTCACTTTGTC